GGTTGACTGAACAGTCGGTCGACATCCAGGCCTCTTTAATCTGCCTTGATGTATGATCATCACCTCAGCCCAAAATTTCAACTGCGTCAAAGTTGAATTCATGTTCCATCGCTGCAGCATGGGTTGTTACCTCCGACTTTGGGTCCAACCTCCCCACGGCCCGCTTATGCTCCTGCATTCGCGTTTGAAGTTATCGGCCAGTTTCTGCAACATAATCGCACATCCCGCAGCTGCAATGAAATCGGTATACGACGCCTGACTTCTCCCGTTTAGGTATAGGGTCTTTCGGCCGCATTACTTGTTGTCGGATGGTGCAGGTAAGCTTGTGGGCAGCCCCTATTCCAAGAGGCGCGAAAGATCTAGCCACAACTTCGGAAACGCCTTTCATGTACGGGATGCTCTGCCACGACTTTGATAAGCAGGGTCCCTCGGTTCGCGGTTTGGGTGGCATTCGATCCGGTTCAACAAACGCTCGTGGATAGCCGTTTGCTCTGAACAGTTCTCGGAGGAGCTTTATCTCGTCCCATTTGGCAGCTGGCGTGCTGTAGTGGGTTTCTACCCGTCGGTATAGCGTGCGTATACAACTGCGCTTGCGTTGTAGCGGATGATTGCTATTGTAACTCAATATTTGTGACGTATTTGTTGGTCTACTTCGTTTGTACTGCAGCGGGTTGTTGATATTGCGACTCAAAATTTGCGACATTTTAATTTAAAGTAGATACACGTCTTTATTTTGTCGTACTGTTGGCGGCAGACGTGAACGTCCAAGAACATGTCCGTCCCTTCCTCTTCCACCGTAAGGTGTGGATTTGGCAAAATCGATTTCAATCCCTGTTTGTTGCGCTGAAGACTACCCTGGTTAATGACGACGAAACTGTCGTCAAGATAGCATGCCAAAAATTGGGGTTCATGCTCTTTGAACAGCCGTGTACCAGAGTACTTTGGCTCCATGAAGTGATTGTACAAGCGTGGATAGACGAGACCGTTCCCTATTAAAGGGACTCAGGCGTCCTTGTACGTGTTTACAAGAAGGGAGAAAAGACAATAATGGCACTGGATAGTGTACGACCAAACATCATCGCCATGATCAGGGCATACTAACGTTTCACCACTGCGCCTGTTCTGGTCCATTATAACCTTGCAGAACTGTTCGATATTCAGTTTGGCGTTTGACAAGGCTGCGTTCCGTCGCCCGCTCTATTAAACTACATCAGTACCTGGATTCTTGGGAGGGCCTAGGACGGCGTTGAAATTGCACCCGGACGCCGACTCACTGACCTCGACGATGCCGATGATATCGCTTTATTAGCTTCAAGCTTTGGCGATCTACAGTTGGTAGTGTCACGGCTGAATGAGATCGCTATGTCTGTTGGCTCGTCCCTAAAAAACGAGAGGACCAAATTATTCTCCAACTGCATCTCCGTCCAGGATAAAGCACACCTGGGGATTAATGGCCGTCAACTGTAAGAAACGGACAGCTTTAAATACCTCGGGACAAGACTGCTACCGAATGGACAATGTAAGGACGATATTGTCTCCAGAATCAATGCTGCTCTCAAGATTTTCTCAGTCCTCCGAAAGCACCTATGGATCAGGCAGGACACCTTCATCGCAGCGAGTATCTGTGCGTTCTGTGCACTCGACTGGTCAATCTTCATCTACGGATGTGAATGCTGAGTTTTACGTGTGGAAAATGAGCAAAGACTGGAGGTATTTGACCACCGCTGCCTGAGTACCATTATTTGAGTGAAGAGGGCCGACTTCGTTTAAAATGAGACAGTCCGCACTCGCTGCGCCACTAACGCGAAGATATCTCAGACCATCCAAGAAAGACTACTAAGGTGATTTGGGCGTGTTCCCCGTCGCCCGCCTCACGAGCGTTGCTACTCTGCCCTCGATCCGACACCGTAGCCCACCCTGGGGAGTCAAAGGGGAAGGCAACTCAAAACTTGGCTGAACATCGTTCGTCAAGACATGGAGGCGGTTCTTAGACCTCCGATTTTCGGTCTCCGTTGCCGGAGAAAAGAATGGACGGAGCTTTTCAGATCCGTTGCCGACAATTGTGACGCGTGGAGGGGTTCCGTCCGTGATGTTTTCGGTAGGTGATTTTAATAAATATTTAACTTTAAAGGTTCTTATATAAACGTCAAAAAAATCCGGATTTATGGAAGAAAGCTTGAAAGCGCTGAAAATGGTTGAAATTTGTCAATAATGGAAATATATATGAAACAAGTTGACTAAAAAATATTGTTTCAAATTAAAGCATTTGGTATATTTAATTTTTTACCTGGCTACTAAATTTACATTTATTTGTCTAATTTATTGCCATTTTCATGTCTGTGGAACTCGAGTATTATTAAGAAAACGTTTCCTCTTAAGAAAAATTACTAATTTTTATATTTCTTTTAAGTAACAAATTCGCTTGGTGTTCTCAATTATTATTCCAAAGTTTTATTCATGCGTTTTTGCCAGTTCGCGAGTGATTATCAATCCATCGCAAATATTGGCCTTTTGTATGACCATCCGCTGCAGCGTAACTATGAGTCCCGATGCAGAAAGGGACGAGTGAGTCCCATTCCCGATTGGTGAGCGTCCATGCACTAATATGAACGTATTGTCCATAAACAATTAGACCATAACACGGATCTATGCTCGTAGGGGCGCATTGAGGCTTTCTGGTTAACTAAACCAAGAGACGAATTTGCTGTGCGTCCGGTTGAAATCTTAACCAAATCTGGCAGCCGGAGGAAAACTTTCTTAACCTTTATGATACATCGCGTCCAAATAGCAAGCTACAGTATCCTTTTTTTCTAGGCGGAACGGGCGAGGACTGGTGAGAGTTTCGATAGGATCTGCCACAAAAACAGACATTCTTAGACAAGTTTTGCATGCCTTAACGACGAAATAGATAAAGAAGTCAAGTGTCTAGGGAATTCCGTCGCGTTCACGAAGACTCGTATCCTTTTTTACTTTGGCTTTTCGTGCTAAGTTTTCGAAGCACTGAATAATTCAAACTGCCGAGTCCCCAACAAGCATAGCTTAAATTAGATATACAGTGGACTCTGTAGGGCTCATAGCCTATAAACAATGAGTTAACTAAATTAGAATTGCCTGTGCACAGATGGAAATTTAAGGACCAGTGCATTAAATCAAACGGCAAAATATGAGGCATCGCAACTAATAGAAACTGAATTGGATAAAGCCGTCATTATGTTGATATTTTGCATTTTGCCCAAAACATGGAAGAAATATTTGTTTATGGTTACTACGTTTAAATCTACATGATTTTTTGCGGATAATTTAAATATGAATATGGTCACACACCTCATCAAAAGTGAAGGTCATACAAACGTTTCATTATTTTTGACATCGCTTCTTCTGTGTAAACCTATTCACCATATGTATGTATGGTTGTATTTGATTGTACTGGCAGCTTATGGTTGTGGTTTGAAACAACCAGGCTGCAAACAAAAAAAACACCAAGGCCATTAAAATTATCTTGTTCGGTGAACTTCGGGAATACAAAAAATCCTCCGCAAGCACGATAATTTCAAAAGATAAGGCGGTGTTACCTCTCTAGCCTCACAACAGAGTTTGCACAGATGGTAGCGTTTTGGTCGACTTGTCCTCAAACTGGAGGTAGTTGAAAGGTTATCGGAAGCAAACAGCTGTGATAGACGTGAAGGTCGTTCGCTGGATAAAGACTTTCTGAAAGGGTGTCGGATTAGACCAGATACTTCACCACGGCCAGCGCCGCCATTAGTGGGGGACAGTGTTTGACCTCTCGCGTCCCGTTTTTCGGTGCCCTGATGAGCCTGCCAGAACTTTCTAAGCAACTGCATTGAACGCTCAGTGGAGTAGATACGGCTGGCAGTTTCGGGCGGAAGGTAACGTGATGGCGATATATCATTCACTTCAGTCTGCCCTCCGCCAGAAGCCCTGTCTGTCCTTCCCTCGGTGAACTCCATTGAACAGCGAGGGCAGACCAGACGGCCACAGTCTGCACAGCGGTTTGCAGACTTCGAGAGAAGACCGAATTCGTGGCCACAGAGGGTGCAGGCACTTTTGCTGCTTGCGACGGACGACAGAGTCAGGTTTTCCAGTCGCTTCAGCATGGACCTTTAAAAAATTCAGTCAACGTGTATGTATGTGTATATTTCTACCAATATAAAGATAAACGCGCAAAGGTAGTTTATTTAGTGCACCTCCGAGACCCCTAACGGTAGTTATAGGAGTTTGGGGGGGGGGGTGAGGAAGTAGGTTAGGCAGTGAATGAAATTTGTAGAAGCAACTGTAAAGTGGAAAAATGTAGTTGAATTTGTTTCTCGCAGCCGCTGGGAATAAGATTTTTCGCATGTAAATTGAAGATATGCGTGGCGCTCTGTGCTGCGGACTATATTAATCTAACTTCAGAATGGCAAATTGGACCGCAAGTGAGTTGAAATAGACAACCTCCTTACTGCCATTTCTATTTCTTAGGAATTTCGAAAAACCTGCATTTTGATAATAGGGTCTTTCTGCCATACGTTAAACGATAATACGAATTAGGAAAATCTAGAGATATAAAGCAACGGCATTTCTCAATACAATAAAAGATGCGCATAGCAGTTATTAAAGTATATCTCACTGCCCATCCTAAATACCCACACATAAAACCCCTATAACCACCGCTTCCTTAGGAAAAAATGCTGAGACTAGAGGTAACTGAAGTGCACTACTTAAACCACTGTTGCCAATAAATGTTTCATGTCGTGGCTCCGCATTTTTGAGGCTAGCATAGTGGTAACAGCGGCCTCTTGTGTCCGTTCATCGAAACTATGCCGTGGTTAATTTTACTGTGAACTACTCCATATTGTTATATACGGGTAAAAAAGGGAATGCCTTAAGGGAAAATGGCATATCCAACACCAATTGTTTTTGGTACTGGCGGCCAGTTTCGTTACTTATCTAGCTCATTAAATTTTAAAGAAAATAATGAAGGCGGCTTGTAATTGGGAAGGATTTCTTAGGCGAAGCTATAATGTCGATTGCCACGCAGGATTTTCGATTTTGAATGAGTTTCTTTAAAACCACCTGCAAAAAATCTTTTACATCAAGTCAAATATCTTTTATAGATAACTTGTATAAGAGTAATCTAACTTGGTACCAACTGACGTCTTCCTCGAATTTAATACTCTAAACGTGTACGACTTTGTCTTCGATAGCTTTTTTGCTTACACAAGCGTCTGGAACCCGAACTGTAGTCGAACATATGATCCGGGTTTTATCAACAAGCTGTAAACTTCCAGGTCTGCCCAGATAATAGGACGACATAAAGGGCTCATAAAAGTTAAAGTCGGTGTTGACCGTGTTCTATACATCGAGGACAGCATTTATCGACAAGTAGATACGATGCTGTATAAATAGAAATCAACCGCAGGTTGTGTTTTGATTTTGTTGAAGGTCTCCTTTAATAGCAAGTGAAAAAATCTTTTCCAAAATTCTGCGTTGTGGCAGGACTCGAATATTTTCGGAATACCAGCACGGCAATCCAGTTTTCGACCGCAACAGGAAACGTTTTTTTCTAAAAAGAATTTCATGATTTCGTTTAAAATGTTATAGGATATACATTCTATTACTGTTGATCGGACTGTATAATGGCGTGTCTGTATGGGAAGAATTTGCTCTAGAGAATCAATAAGACCATTTTACAATTTAAAAGAGCACCACAGTAAGGCTACTTTGATAAGGGTTATACAATGCCGTTTACTGCCTCAATTAGTACACGATATTTTAAGTTTTCAATACAATTTTATTTTCAAAATTGGGTCACTGACTGCTTGTGCAAAAATCTATTGATTTTAAGTTGAGGGATAATAGTTTTTTTTAGGTCTTTTGAAGTTGTTTACCCCTGACATCAAAACTATTCCACTCTAGCCACAATTGTTTGACAAGTATTTTAGGAAAAAGCTTAGGCATGCAATTTGTGGAAGGATTTGGTAAGACAACTTCTCAGAGAGGGTCTATTAAAACAGTTGGTCTCAACAGATTTCTTAAAATCATCTCTATATAGCTTGATATTCATCAGTAAACGATATATCTTTCATGCGTTAGGTTTCAAAAGCTATCTAGGACTACATTTTTGCATAAACTCCCAAAATTCCTTTCCAAATTATTCACTAAAAGAAGCAGCTTTAAACATGCATCTTATTTTGAAAGTTATCTGCATGATATTGCAAATCTCACCTAACATTATATAAAGTTCGATTTGTGAACTGTATCCTCAGTTACTGAATGACAGCTGAACAATGTGTCAATAAAAACAAACAGCGATTCCAGTAATCTGCTAGTTTGCTATACAAAACTTCATATACTAGCTTGAGGACAGTTGGGGTTTAACCATTAGCTTGCACAATTTTGGTCTGATTAAATTCCTTTTATGGGCACATTCATTTAAACTTAATTCTGGCCTGCTAAACTCTATAATTCGAATAAGTTTATTGGTTGTTTTTTGCTCACAATAGAGTTGACGTTTACAACTTATTCAGACACAGGTCTATAAGTACTTTGACTGAGTCTATCACTTTGCTACCCCACCCCATGTGTGTATTCTGGAAAGTGTACAAAGTTAAAGGTACAAGGAAAACCGGGGGTGAACTCTAACATAATACAAACACCGAAAGCAAACGGTAAATTTTAAGCATATTTTCCTTCATAGTCATTTTGGACCGTGGAATATTTTCAAGTTCTAATTTAATTATAAAATAGAACAGCAGAAGGCATTTTATCACAAATTTATCATAAGCTTAATAATTTTTCTTTAGCCATAGCACAAACTTTTATTTTTAATGCAATATTCTTGGATCCACTGTAGTATAAAGTGTCCCTACAGAATTTTAACGACGTAAAATAAATTGTAAGGAAAAATAATATGTGTACGAACAGCTAGATCGTACTGACCTAAAAGCAACAATGGCAAACGTACTCAATTCGCTGATTTTCGCGCTCATTGATGAGCTCACTCCTTTGTAGAACTTGAGATATGTGGTCGAGCTCTTCGTTCGAAAGTCTCATATTGGCATTCCACTGGTTTGCAGAGGAGAATGTTGACCATCCAGTACCCAAGCTTTTGAAAGAAACAACAATTTATTCCTGAGTTAAGTTTGCTCATAACAGCGCGTACAACATAAAATTTCGTAAGCTTTCCAGAAACGAATTCTATACTGTTGTCATTTGCGATTCGTTTAAAGCTTTCAATGAAGGTAAAACGCGTCATATGGAAGTACTGATTTGTTTGAAATAGGAAAACTGTGCATTCAAACTTGGCTGAAAATCTTAATCTGAACCATTTGTACGTTGTTTATTTAGGCAAGGAATCCATAGTTAACCTATATCTCAAGTAAGATCAGTTGTTTCTGACTAACTTGCCGACGTCTGCTCACAAACACAAGGCGCCAAGATTTTGCATATATATTCTGTACTGGTCTTTTGATACTCATACCTTATAATAACTATTTTTAATGTAAGTCTTGGTTTTTCGGTGACTGTGACCGGTTTTGGGAAAATAATTGTGCAAAACTATCCAAACGTGGCTGCTGTGGTTTTTCTTGAAATTTCTGGTTATATACATGCATTGGAGAATCATAGACTATGATAAATAGTCAGCAGTTGAAGTAAGGCAGCGTGGCACTTGCTAGTTTCTCCAGAATGAGTCTCGGATATTTTCGTCGAGATTATTTCGGTGTAGTAAAATTATGTCGTTTGTTTATATATTCCCCGTTTTTATATTGCTTTTATTTGTGAGTATAAATATTCAAAGATGACTAGCAGCGTTTATACACTCTTCCTTAAAAATGATTGTCAAAAATTAAATATATAGTCACCCCTGAATTATACCGACTGCACAATATTTTGAGCAAACAAATCCAACTTTTACGCGATGGGTACAGATTGTAAGTTGAGTTTAAATTGGGATTAAGAGCATGGCGATTGAACTTAGCAAGAAATAGCAGTGATATTTAAAAGATGATATGACTATTACATTATCTGTTTTATTACTCGGGTTTAATGGAAGACGACGTAAACAGTTTGAGTTTGAACTTAACGCCCATTCCTCCCTTTACACCTGCTCTAAAATGCTGTTTCGCCTAAAGACTTTAGTATTCACTTAACATTTGGGCTGGTAGGTCAGTTACGTCAGTGCAATCGTTTGGATACTCAGCCATACAAAATATAAATTTAACGAAAATCGGGCTAATGTGGATCCGATCATCCGGTAGGTACGTTCGGCCATTAACCACTGTATCATTCCTACTGAAGCATCAATCGTTGAAGACTGTACTGACCTGCAAATAACACAATTTAAACGAAATATCTGTGTATATGACGATAAAATATACTTCTCTTAAATACACCAATTTTACTTGCTGCCACAAAACAAACTAAGCATACTTTTACATCCACACTATCGTCAGTTAACAACCTGCATCGACAGCCACATTCAAAAAGGACTTAGCTTTATTCAAAGAAGTATGTAGTTCTACTTTAAAAAACATTCAACCATACTTACCGAGCTCGTAAAGCTAGTTGTCGGTCGTTTGGACAAACCCATGTCTCCATTTTTATTCAATCTGTGAAAAGAAAAAGGAAAGTCTTTGTTTCATATCTACTGTGGATTTCCTAACACAGGGCGTGTCCAGATGGAAATTAGAGGGGACAGATAAATACGCATTTAGCCTTCTTAATTGTGTTTTTGATTGTACCTGAAGCGCAAAAAGTTGTGTATTAAATAAAAGTTAACTTTAAGTCTGTTTATTATAGGATAAACAGGCCGCAATTCGTCAGCATTCTGCGCTTCGTAGAAGCTAAGACATTTTCCGCGTTTTTTTAAAATAAAACCGATCAAAACCTCTCATTTGTGCGCTCTGCACTATGTATAAGCATTCATATAAGGCGGAAAGTTTTAACTTTATTCCTCCAGAGAACGGAAAATTTATATCGTCATTTATGAAAATCAGGTAAACGCAATTACGAGAAATCTTGTTTTCAGAAATAAATGGCAGAGTTTAAAAAATTACGTTTGGCATAATTAGGATAGTTTGCGCCTTAAAGCTCGGTAATAAACTCATGCGACTCT